AAAGTCCCTTCCTGTCTTGACCTTCTGGTTCTTGTGATTACAGGCTACAAGATGTGGCTTTTCAACATCTCTGAGCCCACATCAAACAAGGGAATTGGGAAAGAAATAGATTTACAGGTTGTTCCTTAAAAAAATAGGTGCAAAAATGCTCTGGAATTTGCAGTAGTAAAACTTTTTAGCCTGCATAGGGATGGATTTTCATTCAATGACCTCAAGTCTTTAGGCAATACTTGTTTGTTCACCAAAATACTTGTGTGAGGTGACCCAGAGAAGCTAATGGAATAGTAGTGAAATGTGATACTTCAGATTAAATATATCTGTATTAAGTGGGCATTTAAATGCATATAACCAGATTTCCTTATTTAACTTGCAGAGCACAGGATGAGGGACAAGCTTAGGGGAGTGATAGAGCAGCTTGGTGGGCACTTGATCAGTAACAGAGGAGGAAAGGTTTGAACAAGAAGCTGATGGAGGGGGTGTTTATTGCAATGTTTGCCTTCTGGAGCAGCTGTGCTGAAGCCCTGCTGGCCAGGAAGTGGCTGGTATGGCCTACTCATGGGACATAGAGAGTAAATCTTGTGTTTTCCTTCTCTTCTGTGCATGGCCTTTGCTTTTGTTTTATTAAACTGCCTTTGTCTTCACTCACAAAGTTTATGTGATTCCCCTCCTGCCCCCAGTCCTGCTGAGGAGGAGAGTGATAGGGAGGCTTGGTGGAGTCCTGGCCTCCAGCTGAGGTCAGCCCATCACATCTGTGTTAAGAAATGCAGATTTAAGTGTAGGTGACAATATTCCTTATTAAACTTGCAAAGCACGGTTGTAAGGGCAAGCTTTATAGAATTAGACAAGACACCAAATTTAAAGGCATAAAGAAAGAAAAAGTAAGGAAAGTCACACAAGAATTCTCCCTTTTCAAATGTGTGGTTATATCTGCACGCAGTGTTATGCAAAAGCTCTCTCACATATCACGCTCAGAATTTTTCATGCTGAAGATTCATTGTGTGTGGTCAGAATCTCCTGTGATTCTTCACAAATTAGATCTGTCTTCTCCTTCCAATTCTTTCTGTCAGTCCTGTCTTCCTCAGGCAAAATTCTAGTCAACTGATTTTCAGTGGTGTGTTTTGGATACCAGATTTATGTATTGTAATAGGCAGATGAGGAAATGCATGAGAGAATCCATTTTCTAATTTATGGTAATGAAGAAAATATCTCCAATTCCTTTTCTCTTTATCTTTACAGAAGAAAATTAGGATTTGCATGTTTTTCTTTAACAGTACTTAGTTACAAATATTTGCAAGTCTAATGCTCATACTTATTTCAGTAGCACGACTAAATTTAACATACAAATTGATTTAGATGCAGTTCGTAAGAAAGCTTTAAGTAGTCTGTTTCCTTTTGATGACAGAATCTCACACTATGAAGAATTAAAATGGAACAGTGATAGGTTATGGAATAAATAAGGAAGCTTGATTTTAGAGAATGCAAGTATGGTTGGCAGGATAATTTGCTGTTATATTTGTCCAGGTGTATTGTTCAGATATAGCTCTAACTTTCTGTAGCGTACAATTACACAAGAGGATTTTTTTTTTTCTTCTGTATAATTTTATATTTCCTATTGCCAAGAGACTAGACTGTGTCTGCTGATTCAGCCCCGTCAATTCTCTCTTTACTGGGGTGGGAAAGGAGTAGGAGAATGGGGAGCTAAAATCTGGTGGACTGGGTTCTCAAAGGTGTTCTTTGCTTTTGGTGGCAGTGTGATGGTGCAAAGCACGAGATGTTGCGTGCTTCTGTAGGTGGACTGGCAATTTTAAATCAGTGAGTCTCTTTGTGAATTCATTCTCCTCCACTGATCACCACGTTTGCAGCTTTGGGATGCTCTTCAGGCATTTATGTGGCCCAAAGCACACTGAGGCAGAATAGTTCTCAGCAGGCAATTCTTTTGGGTGTAGGTAGTTGGCATAGAGGAGAGGAACTTCCTTGTGTAGAATGTGAATTGAAGTCTGGGAAGAGCCATTTGTTAATCTTCCTTTTATAGTTTTGTTTCAGTTTATGGGGCAATTCACAGTTCCATGGATTTCTTCTTGGAGCTGGGCTGTGGAGAAGGATTGAAAAAGTTCTGAGAGAACTATTTATATACTGTCAAAAAATTGGCATGGTAATATTTCTGGTCAACTGGTCCATTTTTAATAGAAATTATAAAAAATGTGATAGATCTTGCACGTTGTTTTTTTTTTTTAAAATCCTGTTAAGTTCTGTGTCTGTAATGACAGCCATGTGACAGATATTCACAGCACTCCTACATCCCTTCCCCTGCAGTTAATTATACAATTTTTTTCCACCCGCACAACATTTGTTCTTTCCTTTCCGTAGCAAGCTGCAGATACAAAAATCTGTGCCAGCAGAAATCTAAATCTGGTCCACCATGATCTAAGTCTTGAAGGTGTACAAAAATGGATTCTTTTATATCAAAGTAGCAGTAGTCTGCCACAGTTGAGGCTGTTAGTTTTAACATAATTATGGAGAAGCAGCCAGGATTACTGTCATGCTTAGTGACAAAAGTGAGTCGGGGTAGAGCCCAAGGACATGCACAGGCTGCTGGGGGCAGAAAAGGATCCTGTCTCATTTATCTTAACCAGAATTGCTGTTTGAGTTCTGATTTCTAATTATTTTTGTGTTGATCCAACAATTTTTGGTTTTTGCATCTTGCATTTAGAAGTGTGTAAGCAATGTGTATGTCAAATTTACTTTTTATTTGTGGGTTAAAACATAATATTTTAGATTTAGTTTTCTTTTGCTCAGCTATATTTTTATAGACATATTGGCATTTAGTATATAGAGACTACTTGACTTTGGAAAACCATTCATTTGTAAATAGGTGGTAGCATGGATAAATATTGTCTGATTTAACATCAGGAGGATGTATCTTAAATCGTTATTCAGATCAGGGAAAAGATTTAGACTGTTTCTGGGATACTGGTAGTTACTGAATATTGCTGTTGCTTAGTTGTAGTACAGTAGTACAGAGGAGGTTCTTGGAAAGGTGTGAGAAGTAGGACAGTGAAATAATTTTGGAATCCAGAAGGTGCAGTAAGTCTTGGGGTCACATACAGTTGGCACATCAGTAGATTCAAACAAAGTGAGGAAGTTTCTACCTCTAAAGGAGTTTTAAGTTTACTGGAGTTTATAACCTTATTGTAGCTAATTAAAAAGATGATGAGATTAAGAAAAGGTAATAATTGCCATAAAATAAAAGCAGGGCTCTAAATGAGCTGCCTACATGTGTATGCTCTCAACTGAATGTGTGCCTAATAAGATGCAGATACGAAGAGAATTAATATCTGGACATACATTAAAGTAGTGCTTCTTTAATGATATAACAGATTCAGAGTGTCTAACTGAATTTTACCCCGACAATACTTCTTTTCCATTTGAAATAACTGATAAAAATATTTCAAAAGGTCGGTTTCTTAAGGTGATTTCAAAAGGTTGGTTTGTCAAGGTTTTGAATTTTTGATTTAGCTTAAATAATTGCTAAAACCCGACAGATTTACATGTACTTGTGTAAAACATGAAGGTAGTATCAAATGAAATGAAGTTTTGTTGTTAGTTTCGTGTCTGTGTTTTTGCTGTTTTGGATTTTTTTTGGTGTGGTTTCTGTTGTTGTTCTTGTTTTTTAGAATGTGGAGTTGCAGAACACCAATTAAACCTAAAAGGTCTGATGGCATGCTTTGCAGTCCCCTAATTCCTTCAGTTAAATGTCCTCTGGTACAGACAGTGAGTCTGTTCAGGAATTGATATTTCTAAAAGCTCAGAATGCCGTGTAGGCAATGAGTAGAGGAAAAAAAATAATAAGAAAAACAAATTGTCAGATAAAGACAATCTGAAATGAACACCATAAACCATTGCAATTTAGGTTAAATATCTGTATTTCAACCTTAACATGGGCAAAATCCATTTTGATTTTGATCTGTGTTGAGTAAGGAGTGCAATGTACCTTTGCAACAGAGATAGATCCCCGTACTCAGTTGTAGTATAAATATTTTAGGACAAGTTACAGTGTTCTGAAAAACCTAAAAGTGTAAAAGAACAGCAATGTCCAGTAGGAATGTTGTAATTTACCATGGAACTGATTATTTCAAATATATTTTTCTTTGTCACGTCTATTGAGTAAAGTCTGTCTCTAAGTTTATATATTTGAGTACTGTGAATTTGTTGTTGCCTTTCTGTATAACTCAATAAAATTATTTTTTTCTGTTGAAGATACTTTTTGTTGAATTCAGTTCTTTCTGTTGAATCTCCTTTGCTTGCATCTGACCTTTATTTATGTTGATTTTGCTTCATTTTTTCATTTACCATGCTGTTCAGTTTTTGGATGCCAGAAGAACAAAGGTTTGTCCACTATTTGCAGTAAATTTATTTTTCAAAATTCGGTATTGCTTATCGTGAGTTACTTTGTTTGCTTTTGAGAGATACAGTAATCCTGTTTACTAAACTTGTTCATAGCTTTAGCTTCCAAAATGAAAAAAATGAAACCAAGCAGCCCCAACTGAGCCCCTCCCCAAAGTCCCCTTTAATTATAGTGATGGCTTTGATTGACTTTATAAACAGCAGTTCTGTTGAGCACCATGAAGAGCAGATTTATCTTTAGTCTATGAAGTAATTTAGAAAACATGGAATACTGAGTCTTTGAGCTTTGTAGGTACACATTGACTGTTCTAATGGATGTGTCACTGCCTAGTGTTTGTGTCTGTTGCTGTCAATTTTATCTGTAGCTGACATTATTTTGTGTCTGTATATGTTGTCTTCTTTTTTCTTTCTAGAAGCACTTTAAAGATACCATTACAAATATTGTCACCTACATTTGATATTTTATATGGTCATCTGGTATACTTTCATTACTAATTCTAATGACCTTTTATAACAGCATACAAAAAACTTTAATCAAATACTAATTCTACATTCAGATCCTAAGCAAATTTTTTCTTTCTTCTTCTTTATTGCAGCATCTGCAAATGACAATCCAGGCACTTCAAGATGAGCTTAGAACCCAGAGAGACCTTAACCATCTTCTCCAGCAAGAAAGTGGGAACCGAGGGGCTGAGCATTTTACCATTGAGCTCACAGAGGAGAATTTTCGAAGACTTCAGGCAGAGCATGATAGACAAGCTAAAGAGCTCTTCCTGTTGAGAAAAACTCTAGAAGAAATGGAGCTCAGGATTGAAACACAAAAGCAAACGCTAAATGCCAGAGATGAATCAATAAAAAAGCTTTTAGAGATGTTGCAAAGTAAAGGTTTGCCTTCTAAAGGAATGGAAGATGACAATGAGAGAACTCGAAGGATGGCAGAGGCTGAATCTCAGGTTAATCATTTAGAAGTGATTTTAGATCAGAAGGAGAAGGAAAACATGCATCTTAGAGAGGTAATGAAAAACTCATTTATTTGTTTAAAATAGATATTTTTGTTAAAAATAGTCACGGAACTTGTGGTTTTAGACATAATTAAAGTATTGAAGTGTTTTCTTTATGTGCTCTAATTTTTTGATGAGAAGGATAGCATGCATTTGTTTTACATCTGTAATAAGTACTCAGCAGGACTGTACGATATTTGACAGAAAGAATAAGAATATGTAAGAGAAGTAGGTATATTTGGGCTTATTGTTTCTGAAATGTTGCTTTGCAGACTTTCTTTATCCTTTCATTTTGATAAAGTGATATCTGGCAAGTCAAGGCTAAATGTACTGAAGAGGGAAGTGATACCTGTTGCTGTTCTAACCGAAGAGTCATGATAGCATGCTACTTTTATATTGGATTTTTATGCTTCTGATATTTGAAAAGAGTGTTTAGAATCATTTGCCCTCCATATAAACAAAGGCTTCTGCCTATGTATATTTCTAATGTATTTTCATGTGGGGATACTGCAACTATTTTCATAAATATACCATAATGTCACATTAAAACACTATGCTGCTGGCTGTGCTCTACTTTGAGAAAATCTAAATTTGATCCCAAGCCCACCTCCACCAGCTGCCCACATCGCGTGTAAATGCATTTTTGGGACTGCATTTGGTATGATTGGATTAGTACAATTGAAAGAAAATCTGGCCTGGTGTCAAGCCCATCTGCCCCTTTAGATCCCAGCAGTGTTCTCGTGTGGCTCTGTCAGGCAAACAAGGCAGGGCCAGTCTTCCTCACTGATACCCTGCTAAGGAGGGTGAACATTTGCAGGGAGGTGGTGCACAACCTACACACAGCAAGGAAAGTCAGGAGAAACACGTCTGTTCGCTTAGAAACTCAGCAGCAGTGTGGTCACGAAAAACATCCATTTGCCTGACAGATCAAAGTGTAAATGAAATTAGTGCAAGAGCTTAAGAATTAGTGCTCAAGATTAAGAGCAGCTATTTTCATCTAGAGACTGTTGTCAAAATATTTTCTTTGCTATGGACAAATTGTTTTATATTTTGCTTATGTTCTTTAACCTAGAATATATATTTGAGGACTCAGTAGTTTCTGATGCCCATTTGAAACTCAAAGTGGAAAATCTCGTGAAACACTTCAGTAAAGTTTTCTTGTGAAGGTGTGGATCCTGAATCTTTTCACAGGCAGAATTTTAATTAAAACTGATGTAATGGATTAATGGATTCTGAGAGGAGTTGCATAAGGAGCTCATGATACTGAATTTGTGATGAGGGAAGGTTGGGGAATAAGTTCTATAAACTAGCAGACAAGTTTCTGGATTTAGGTCTGCATACACTCTATTTTCAAGGATGGGTGCTTGTATGATTGTATTTCGTCTGTTCTATTGGTATGAATTAAGTTTGTGGGCCCTAATTTAGCTATATATGGGACATGAGGAAATTTGAAGAAAGTTTCTAATGAGAATGGTTATCAAGGGCAGTGAGAACTAAATTGAGCTCAAAAAACAGATAAAATGTAAGCTTCCAAGTGAAGTCCAATTGGCATCCAATTTACTGATTAGTCAAAGGCATGCTGAAAGGACATATTATTGCTACCTGTGGACTGTGCATGTTTTTCCTGTTTTTATTCTGAATTTATTTGATGTTCCCCCAAGTTGTTCTCAGGGGCAGGGAAAAAAGTTGTTTCTCCTTCAGTTCATATGAGAATATAGAGGTTTTGTCTGGAGTGTTGCAAGTATAGAATGGGAATTGCTGCTTATGACATGCTGATATACCTTGGTAAGTGGTCAGGGTTTAAAATTTTACTAGATTTGTTGCCTGGAATCTGTCCCAGCCAGATTGGCAGGAACTGTCTAATGTTTTAGAGATTCTGGCACATGGTTTCCGTGTTTTTCTAAGAATTCAAGGCTTTGGGTGCAGTCTCTCTCTCCAGCTCTCTTTCTGTTGCACATAGTATTTATAGGTTTTATTTTTATTTATTTTTTTAAGTTTCTGCATATTTGATGTTTGTTATAGGGAGCTTGGAAGTATGATGTGTAGGCTGTAGGAACTCTTTAAAAACAAAATGTTTTAGTAAGTGCCTGTTTGTTTATCCAGGACTCTGGATTTTATTGTTCTGGTGGACTCTTGGAAAATGTACAAAGGTTCAAATTTTTTCTTTTGCTTTCTTGTTATGGAAAGTTGTCTGCATGCTTTGAAGTAACATCAGACATTATGTATAGTTTAAAAGTATTATGTATTTGTTAAAAGTCCAAATAGATCAACCTTTGATCTTTACGTGTAGCTTGGTAAATCCTTGTTCTGCAGTGCTCATTTGAATTTGTGTCTCTGCTTTTAGTCTTCATCCCACATGATGCAGGTTCTCAAGATGATAAAACAAAGGTTACTGGGCTGAATCTTCTGCAGCAGCCTGCCTGGTAGATTGATATTTTTTTTCCTTGTACTAGTGTTTGGAGGTTTTCATCCTAAATGTGTAAATCACCTGGCAGAGTTACTGAACTTTTTTTTTTTCCTCCAGGGAATGCTTTAAAAGTAAGCTAGAACTTGAATACATTTTTAATGAATTTAATTCATTAATTATTTAGTATTCACTCAAATTGTGTTGATCTTTCTATACCTTTAACAAAATATTTGTCATTTTAGAACATCATTTAAAATATTCTGCTTTCTTTATTTTTACAGGTTGAAGTATAGCTCAAGTGTTGAGTGTGTTTCTGAGAAACTAGTATTGGGTCATGTGTAATGTTCTGTTTGGTCAAATCCTGGATGGCTGTTTCTTCTCTCTAATTAATTTTGCTATTTTATTTCTGGTGCTTCACTTGAAACTGTCTGTGCCATGGGAGGTTCAGGGGGAATTTCTTCATGGAAAGGGTTGTTAAACGCTGGAATGGACAACTTGGGGAAGTGATGGGGTCACCGTCCCTGAAAGTGTTCAAGAAATGACTGGGTGTGGCACTCAGTGCCATGGTCTGATTGACAAGGTGGAGATTTTCAAAGACTTGATGATCTTGGATGTCTTTTCCAACCTTAATGATTTGGTCATTCTGTGAAGCAAGGGTGAGAAAATTCTGTGTAGCATCATATGAAATTTTTCAGCAAATAAGGTTTTTGTGTGTCAGTTTACCTTTACAATGATTCTGCTGTAGTTTCCAGCAGAAAGAGTGCTGTCCGTGGAAAAAAGTTAATGTGGTGCAAATGAAATTAAATATGGAAAAAATTAACTGAAGACTGCTGATTTTATACAGCCTCAACACTACATTAAAACGTCATGTAGACATGGACTTCTCATAAGCCCTTTGCTGTTGGTATTTAATTTAAAATTTCTTTGGATCTGAATTTTTCAGTTCATGAAATCTAATTGTGTACCAACCTAGCTGGAGAAAGGTCAAATCTTACATGTATTTTGCTGAGCTTTTGACCATATTTTCCCCTAATGTAGCCATAATTTTCTGTCTTATGCTGTTCATTTCTTAGTCCTTTAAAACAGTGCAAAGCTGGAATTTCTTCTTTTCTTCATTAATTTTGTTCGTCTTTTAGATAAGTCAACACGGTGGTGTAGAGAGCTATTAATAATCACTGGTGGGTGATATTTTGACCAAACCAGATGAATTAAACTACCAGAGAGAAACTGAAGCAAGTGGTTTTGAAATACTGGGAATTATGGACAACCTCTCCAACACACTCATATCTGAAATGAATGTGAGTTCTATCTCCTTGACCTGCACCCCCTGAGCACTGATCCTACAGGGAACTGCATTGTAAGAGAGGTGTTCTTTGTTATTCCACAGCTGCTTTTGTCTAGCTGGTAACTTGATCAAAGTTCACTTAACTAGGTAGAGAGAAATAACATCTTGTTGTCTGTAAGCCTCTACCACCTTGTCAATTACTGGTTTTTTGCCCATTTCACACAAGAATGCACATTACCAGAAATAAATATCCTACTGTTCTGATTGGCTGATATCCAAGAATCATGCAAAAATTTCTTGTTTTTAAGCCACTGATTGCTTCTTGCCCTTCCCCCACCCACCCCCATGAGTAGCCTCAGCAGAATTTCATAATTATAGCTGCCTTCAAATATCTGGAATTTCTCCAGGCTTTAGATGGTATTTCTTAGAGAAAGTACAGGCGAGAGTCATGGAATTGGCTAGTGTACTAGAGGCAGAGAAATAACTCCAGAAAATAAAACAATATTTTTTTTTCTTCATTTGCTTTCATATTCTTAGGCGATACAGAATAACTGTGATGTGTTGACTTTGTGGCTCTCAAAGACTGTACCTTTCTGCAGTGTGCAATCCATGCATCTTTAAACATGGTTTCACAGGAGCAAACTTGTGATGACAGTTTTACACAAGCTTTGTGTTTGAGGGCCTTAGAAATGGCAAATGTGAGGCCCATTATAGAGCAGGAGAAGGAGAATAAAGCTCAAGTTGGAATCCTGCACTTTTACAGGAATAGCAAAGAATGTCAGTGTCGGCAAGGTTCACTAAAATGTTGGGAAATAAGCTGTGCAAAAACTGGGGTTAGATTTCTTTCCCTGTATCAAGGAATTTAAAGTCTAAGCAATAAGCTTTCACAGGGATAGCCAAATTCCCAGCCTGGAGAGAGTTATAGGAAAGGTTTCCTTAGTTTCTGATTCACAAAGCAAGAGAGAACAAATGTAGCTCTGAGTACCGGTGTGAGCATGAGTTTCTGCTTCAGTTTGGGAGACGTAGCCTCTTAAGAGAATGTTGTGCTCTGTTTCATGCTTTCTGCCCAGATTGAACTTGGTTTTCCATCACTGTAAGACTGAATCCTATGTCTTTAATGAACTAAATGCACCCAAGTATTTTTATTAGTGTTTTTCAAAGGTAGATGAAATCAATTGTTGTTTTCTGAAAACAAAAAAGAGAATGGCTTTTGCTTTGATAAGGAAATTAATGTGTCCTGTGTGGAACAAAGTGGTCTTTGCAAATAGACTTAAGGAAAAGGACATTTTTGGTCTCTTAGTGGTTGAAAATTTGTCTTGA